AAAAAAAAAAAAAAAAAAAAAAAAAAAAAAAAAAAGAAATAATTTACATAGAATGAAGCAACATTATCAGGTCTAATGTGTTCAGTGAGTTTTGACAGTGTATTCACCTGTGTAACTCACATTGTTATCAAGATACAGACCGTTTCTATCATGCTAGAAGCTCCCTTTGTGTGCTTCACCACCCATTCCTTACCCACCCCCACCAATCCAGGGACTTACTGCCCTTTAAAAAAAAAACTAGGGTAGTGCCTGTAGCTAAGCGGCTAAGGCGCCAGCCACATACACCAGAGCTGGCAGTTCGAATCCAGCCCAGGCCTGTCAAACAATGACAACTACAACTAAAAAATAGCTGAGCATTGTGGTGGGTGCCTGTAGTCCCAGCTACTTGGGAGGCTGAGGCAAGAGAATCACTTAAGGAGTTGGAGGTTGCTGTGATGCCACTGCACTCTACCCAGGGTGATAGCTTGAGGCTCTGTCTCAAAAAAAAAACCCAAACCTACATTTACATTCTTTCTCCCCTTTTGTTCCTCTCCTCCTCTTCCCTTCCCTTTTCAGAGTCCTATCCCATAAGTGGCTTCTTTCCTATTCCAGATATTGATATAATGAAGTAGTATTCACATTTAAAATAATCTTTTTATTTTATTTCTTATATATATATATATTTTTTTTTTTTTTTTTGAGAGAGAGAGTCTCACTTGGTCACCCTTGATACAGTGCAGTAGTCACCCTTGGTAGAGTGCAGTGGCATCTTAGCTCACAGCAACCTCAAATTCTTGGGTTCAAGTGATCCTCTTGCCTCAGCCTCCCGAGTAACTAGGACTCCAGGTGCCTGCCACAACTTCCAGCTGGCTATTTTTAGATATGGGATCTCCGCTCTGGCTCAGGCTGGTCTCAAACCTGTGAGCTCAGGCAATCCACCTGCCTCAGCCTCCCAACTGCTGGGATTACAGGCATGAGACACTGTGCCTGGCTAAAACAATCTCTTTTTAAAAAGGGAAACAATCGGCTCGGCGCCTATAGCTCAACTGGCTAAGGCGCTAGCCATGTACACCTAAGGTGGCGGGTTCGAATCCCCAGGTGGCGTTGTTCGGACCCGCCAAACAACAATGACGGCTGCAACCAAAAAATAGCCGGGCGTTGTGGCGGGCGCCTGTGGTCCCAGCTACTTGGGAGGCAGAGGCAGGAGACTCGCTTGAGCCCAGGAGTTGGAGGTTGCTGTGAGGTGTAATGCCA